GGGTGGCGGGGCCCGACGGGCCCCGGGGGGGGGGGGAGCCCCGTGGCTGGGGGACAGGACCTCCACGAGATCTGGGCTCCTGCTGGTGGGAGAGGAGAGATCGCGGGTGTCGGGCTTGTGGCAGGGCAGAGCCCCGGCTTTCCTGCCTGCAAAGGGCTCCGTCCCGAGCCATCCTGAGCTGCCCTGGTGCCTCTGCTGTGGGCGTTCCCCTGCAGCGCGGCTCTTCCTTCCCCTATCGCTCTGCGAGCAGCTGGGTGGAAGGAGAGGCCTGGCTGGCTTTGCTCTGCCAGCGGGGAGGTGGGGTCGGTGGGTGAGGGGAAGGAGCCAGACCCCCTGCAGCAAAGGGGGCAGCTGAGAGGGGGCAACCCGCCCTGCCCGCTGCATTGGGCTCCCCTGAGGGTCTGCACCCTCGATCCGTGCTGTTGTCCGTGACCCAGGCGATGGAGCCTGACCTCATCCGCTCTCCACGCAGATTCGCTTCATCTTGATCCAGAACCGGGCCGGCAAGACGCGCCTGGCCAAGTGGTACATGCAGTTCGACGACGACGAGAAGCAGAAGCTCATCGAGGAGGTTCACGCCGTGGTGACTGTGCGGGATGCCAAGCACACCAACTTCGTGGAGGTACCGCTCGGCCGGCGTGTCACGGCCCCCGACACTTGGGGAGGGGGTGGGCGGGACGTGGAGGTGTCGGCTCCTTGCCAGATCCACCTTGATGTGGGTGGATCAACCCGTCCAAGGAATCCTGGCCCAGCCCCGCCATGCGGCTGACAGCAGGGCGACAGCTTGCTCTTGCACCGCGGGCGTGAGCTTCCAAAGTCTCCCATCCTAGCGGGAGCAGCCAGAGGCAGGGGGAGGGAACGTCGGCTGGCACCGAGAGCAGCTACCTGGGACTGGGGACTCCTGGGTTCTGCTGCTGTCTTGCTGTGTGCAGCTGGGGTGAGGGTTTTCCCTAGCAGGAAGGCAACTGAGAGGACCTGGGGGGCGCAGGGGTCTCCTTCAGACCGTCTGCTCCCCTGGTCGAGCCTCCACCGTCGTCCTGTCCCCTCAGTTCCGGAACTTCAAGATCATCTACCGGCGCTACGCGGGGCTGTACTTCTGCATCTGCGTGGACGTGAACGACAACAACCTGGCATACCTGGAAGCCATCCACAACTTCGTGGAGGTGAGCGCTGGTAGGCGGTGGCTGGGCCTGGTCTTGGGGGCACGGCTCTCGGACGGTTCCTCAGGGAGATGGAGCCTTCCTCGGTGATTGACCGGCTGTCCACATCTCCCTCTGTGTGCGCCTGGGCCAGCCAGCAGCTCCTGTCCCTCGCCGTGAGGCTCCTCCGGGTCTGTGGGTTACAGGGAGCAGAGCAAAGCCCCACCTAGCGCTCGCTGGGCTCTGAGCAACCACTGATGGCTTTGCTGGCTGCAAAAGACCCGTTTCCTGCCCTGCGTCCCACGCGGTGGGGCTCCAAGGAGGGCAACGAACCATCATGACCGGTGCCTTGAGTTGCTTCGAATCTCATCGTCTCTGGGCACCTTGCGGTAGAGGCTGTGCCTGAGCCCTGCTGTCGGATCGGCTGGATGCAGCAGGGTCCCCTGGGCTGAGTTGAACAGGAGGGCACGCCGGTCTCGTGGCACCAGGTGGCACAAACCAGGCCCCGACTCCCACTGTCTTTTTCCTCCTCCCAGGTCCTGAATGAATATTTCCACAATGTCTGCGAGCTCGACCTGGTGTTCAACTTCTACAAGGTGAGCAGAGCATGGTGGGGCCGGGCCAGGCGGGGCGTCCCCTTTGCAGCCCTACAGTGCGGCTCTGAGCTGGGGACGGGCTGGCAGGCGGGGTGCCCTCGTGACCGACAGCTCCCAGCCTGCAGGAGGGGACGCGCTGGGCCGCGTAGAGCTGGTGGAGTTAGATGCCCGCAGCAGAGGGAGTTGGGGGGCAGGAAGGCAAGGCGTGCAGGGCTGATTGGGTCCCAGAGGGCAGCAGGGGCTCGTGGAGCTGCTCTGTGCTGTGGGGCAGGGAGGCCACGTGCTCCCTCTTTCTCCTTGGGATGAGTGTTCAGCCTCCTTGGCTTGAATCTTGTCGTCTTCCCCCTGCAGCCTTGGGGGAAGGGGCAGGCGCTGCTACAGGTGTCCGTCTTGGGGGCAGCACTCGGTGCCGATGGGTGAGCCCGGTGCCTCTGGATGCGGGGCTCACGGGTGGGTCCTTCTGGCTGCAGGTTTACACTGTGGTGGACGAGATGTTCCTGGCCGGCGAGATCCGCGAGACGAGCCAGACCAAAGTCCTGAAGCAGCTCCTCATGCTACAGTCACTGGAATGAGCTGCCCGACCCCTCCCCGCTCCCTGCACCCCTCCATCTTCACCCTGCCGGGCTCGTCTCGCGCTCGGTCCCGGGATCGGCGACTGCCCAAAACGAACGTCGCTGCTCTCAGCTGGGAAGGGATGCTGCTCCCGGGAATCACAAATGAGTCACAGATTCCAGGCCCGCGTGCGCCCTGCCCGGCCTGCGCTCCCCCAGGGACAGACATAGGGGCGCAGATCCCTGGGGGCAGGCAGGCGGGCCAGCTGTCTCACGCCCCTGCCCTCCACCCAGCCATCTCCCCGTTCATCTAAACGTGTTGTGCTGCCTGCCTAGAAGAGGGACCATAGCTCTGTGTTCGCCGTGGGCAAGCAGCTGCTTTGTCCGTGGCCGGTGGAGCGATTGTATTGAAATAAATGTCTGTGAAACGTTTCGGTGACCCGTGCCCTTTTCTGCAGGGCCCCGTGGGGCTGGCCGAGGCCAGAGGGGGCTGTCGGATTGTCTAGGTGCAGACCGCCGATGTTCTGAACATCTTCATCCGGCATCCCAAAGAGATGCTTGTCTAGCAGCACCAATGAGGGGGATCCCGTTGTCTCCCGGGGATCTCGTCCCTGCTCTTCTGCCTGGAAGACACCCCCCCCCCCTCCTTGCCTTCCTGCCTGTCTTAAGGGAACTGACCTGGCTCTTTTGGCCACAAACTGGTGCCAAGGCCATCAAGAGGGCAAGGAGTTGCTTAGGCATGTTGGTATCATTGTGAAGGACCAGTTCTCCCCTCCCCTGCTCCTTCCTGTGACCGCGGGAGCGGGGAGGTGGCATCAGCGACTGGGTGTCGTAGGCTGGAACCTGGCTGTCCTGGGACTGTTGGTTCATGGAGGTGACCAGGAGACTGGGCTCCAGTCTTGGGGTCCTTGCACTCGCGTTGCACCCTCTGCTACAGTAGACTTGTTCTTTCGGTCCGTCCATCTGGGAGTCTGCCCTAGGAGCCTGCTAGACGAGGAGGCCTGGGAGGGACCTTCCCGGTCGCTCAGCCCAGCCCCTGCCGCCACAGGCATCACGGCACCGTCTCCGCTAGCTCAGTGTCCTCCAGCCAGCTCAGCTCCTCGCTCTGGTGGGCGGCTGCTCCAGACGGACCACGTTTCCGAGCTCAGTGTCTTTGCAGTCTGTCGTGTCTGGTGGTCCTGGTAGCTTCTCCTTTGTCCTCTGCATCGCGGTTGGGCCTAACATGAAAGTAGGACGTAGTAAGTTGAAACTAGCATGCCGAAGTTTTTTTCACAGCCGTGTAATTAAAGGGTGAATCTCGTTGCCACCGGATGTGGGGAAGCTGAGAGTTTAACCTTGTTCACAAAGGGACTGGACAAAGTCCTGGAGGAGAGGGGCACTGGGAGCTGTCGAGCACGGCAGCGAGGGGCACGGCCTCCGAATCGGAGCGTCCTGGACCTTCGGTGCTGGAGGCAGCGAGCGGGAGAGGAGCAGGAAAACCCTCCGCGCTCTGCCGCCGCATGACGCAGGGACTGGGCGAGCTGGACCTACGGTCTGATCCAGTAAATGGCACTCGTGTAGTATTTTCCTGTGGTCAAAACCAGAGCCGGCACGTTCGAGGGGGCCCTTGCAGCTAGAAAGGCCGAGCACCGCTGGCTTCACCCGTGTCGTTGCGTGACGCTGGGCTTCGCCCACTAGAGAGCGCCCGTGCCGCGCGTCGTCTCTGCCGGCCGCGAGCAGCACGGGCGCTTGGTGGCTGCGGCTTCAGCAGCTCTCGGCAAGGGATCCCCGGGCTCGCAGGTTGTTGATGCTGCACGGTCATCCCCGACCCGTACGGGTGCGAGATGGACCGCTTCCTCGGCGCTGTCGGGTGTGTTGAGAACCGACCGTCCCTCCTGGGCTGCGCCGACGTGGGGTGGAAAGGGACGGGCTGGGGCACGGTGCATCCAGCCCCTGCTAGCGCCTTCAGATGCAGCCTGAGCTCCAGTCCGGCTCCTTGCTGGAAGCTGCCTCGTTCCCTGCTCCAGTTCTACCCCAGGCCGGTTCATCCTCGCAGCGTCCTGGGCTAAAGCCGTCCTTCAGCCGCAGGAGCTCCCGGGCTCAATGCACGAAGGGGAGGAGGGGAAGCCGAGGCCCGTGGCGGGGACGGGTCTCATGATGGGTCGCTGGGAGTCGAACCCAGGTGCCCTGAGTCCCAGCATGGTCGGTCCACGGCGGCAGCTGCACTGCCCAGACGCACAACCAGGCCGGAGGATGCTCTTAGGGAGACGGTCCTGTGTGCGTTCAGCACGGCGTAGCCGGCAGCTTGTCGATGCCCCGTGCAAACTCCCGCTGTGCGGGTTGCCAGGTGCCCTTCCCCGGGGCCACCACCACGGCTCCCTCCCCTCCCCTCCCCTTCCCGGGTCGTGCGCCACGGGGCACGGACCTTCCCTCCTTCCTGCGCGGGACGTGCTGCGCTCGCACCCGGATTGACTCGCTCCTCGTTTTGCAGCTGGCGGCCGAGTCTCTCCCACCGCTTGGGTTTCTCTCCGCGGGCTGGAGTTGGGAAAAAGTTGCGCGTGCAGTTGGCTTGCCTCTGTAATAACCACGGGACGCGAATCTTCAGAGGCCGTGACCCTGACGTTAGACTCGCAAAATAGCTTCCGGCATGGACGCCCTGGGCCGTGACTCGCCCAACTTTCCAGGCGGGTAACCGGGAGCGGGAGAAATCCTGCTCCTCCCCTGAGGCACGGCGGGCAAATCCAGCAGGCGGGAGACCCTCGCTCCTGCCCTGGAGTCTGGAAGGGGGGTCGCCCGGCACACGGGGAGCCGGCGAACGCTGGGTCCGTGGGCAAGCCAGGCTGAGTACCGGAGAAGCCATGGGAGAGGCATAAGCCAAGTACAAGGCTGAGCCTTGTTGCTTTGCCTTCTGGGTCAGGGGTCTGTGCTGGAAGGGGTGAAGGGTCAACTGACCCTGGCTGGCTGCTCCGGGCGCTGGGCCCAGCTGCAGGGTTTTGGCCACCCGAGTCTGCCCCGCCGCCCAGGGCAGGCGGCCAAGGCCCCAGGTTCACGGCCACGGCCTGGCAGCGCGTCTGTCCAGTACAGGCGGGCGCGGAGACCCGGGCAGGGTGCCCTGCAGGGTGCCGTGGGGCTCTCAAAGGTGTAGGCGACCCCCGCAAGGGGGCAAGCCCTGGTTTCAGGTGTGCTTGAGAGCCCCAGCACGTGGGAGGGGAATGGGCCTGCAACGAGAAGGGTGAAAAATCACAGAAAATTGAGGTTGGTTGCATCTTGTCCAAGCAGGACCAGCCCCAACCCCATCATCCCAGCCGAGGCTTTGTCTACCCGGGTCTTCAACACCTCCAGGGATGGAGACCGCGCCACCGCCCTGGGGCCCTGCTCCCGTGCTTCACCCCCTCCTCGCGAGAGAGCCGTTCCTCCTAGCTAACGTTAACAGATGGTGGCAGGGGTCGTACCGCGCGGCCGTGCGAGTCCGTTCTCACCCACCGTCCAGGGGGGCGGTGGCGCGATTGCACCCACTTTCATTCCCAGCCCACCCAAACTTGCAAACCAGCTGCCTGGGAGGGGCAGGGCCATTTCTACTCGGGCAGCAGGGAGGGAGCCCGCTGACTCCAGATTCCTGCTAATCTCTCCGCTCCCCAGGTGTCGGCCCTCTCCTTTTCACCGGTCCCGGTGTCCCTTTCCCAGCCGAGGCTTTGTCTACCCGGGTCTTCAACACCTCCAGGGATGGAGACCGCGCCACCGCCCTGGGGCCCTGCTCCCGTGCTTCACCCCCTCCTCGCGAGAGAGCCGTTCCTCCTAGCTAACGTTAACAGATGGTGGCAGGGGTCGTACCGCGCGGCCGTGCGAGTCCGTTCTCACCCACCGTCCAGGGGGGCGGTGGCGCGATTGCACCCACTTTCATTCCCAGCCCACCCAAACTTGCAAACCAGCTGCCTGGGAGGGGCAGGGCCATTTCTACTCGGGCAGCAGGGAGGGAGCCCGCTGACTCCAGATTCCTGCTAATCTCTCCGCTCCCCAGGTGTCGGCCCTCTCCTTTTCACCGGTCCCGGTGTCCCTTTCCTCTGCAGCGTTGCTGTCCGGTAGCCGTTCCTGGGGCCGTCTCTCTCCTGTTCCCCAGCCCGGCAGGCTGTCCGCGGCTCTGGCTGAAACCCGGGCTCAGCCGGCGTCATCTTAACTCGGAGCTGACTCGTGCCGAAGCGCGGGAAGCACCGTCGAGACCCTCGGAGGCTGGGCTTTGTTTTATGCACGTGAACGAGGCGCACGTTTAACTGCAACGACTGTGGGACTTGCAGTACGACCTCCTCGGACCATCTCCCGCCTGGTTATTCAAAACGAGCAACTTTACACGGAAGAGAGCCAATTATTTCACGTTTCGCTCGTTCCATTTGCTTTGATGTTAAACTGAAGAATGTGACGCCAGCCCCCCGAGCGTATTGGTATCGGTCTTTAGTTGAAGAAGGCGCGTGTTGCGTTCGATGCGATGATGGCCGACACCAGCTGCACCCCATTTTCAAAATCCAAGGTCTGCCTATGGCTGGCTTTACTTGACTTACACCACGGCAAAGACCATAATCCTCAATCTCCACTCGGGCTTTCCAGCAAGACGGTTATGGCATGGTCGGGATCCCAAAGGAAAGTGATCTGCTGGGAGAGCGGGGCTGGGACGGGCCACGATCAGCGCTCGAGCACCGAACGTTGCGGGAATTAAGCTGATTGCCGACAGCCCCGCTTCTGAGGTCGTGTCTGGAGTCTGGCGGCCTCTCCTTTCCCACGACAACCGCGGGGCTCGTCCACACGTGAGAGCCAACCCGGGAAAAAGCTGGGAGTGGATCGGGGTCTGCAAAGGCCCCTGGCCGGGGCCGCCCAGCCCCAGCCCTCGGCACAGGCTGGCACGGAGCCGGAAGGCGAGGCCGGCCTGCTGCAGCTGATGCAACCCGGCCAGCTGTTTCGTCTCTGCCCGGGCCCGGATCTGCGCTTCCTGCACCGGGTGACGCAACTCGCAGGTGAAATAACGGCGTCCCGAGGCGGGCGCGGGCGGGAGCGAGCAGGCGGCGCTGCCTGGGGGACGCCCGGGGCTCTGAGAAGGCACGCTATAGCACGCTTCGCTCCTGCTAATCTCTCTTCGCTCCACAGGCGTTAACGACCCTCGTTTCTTTTTAAAGGTCCTGATGTGCCGTTAACCGAGCTGCCCTTTCTTCTGCGCTGTTGCTGTCCCTTGGGCTCTTGGTGGGGATATCGCTCCTCCGTTTCACCGCTTAGTTCTAGCTCCTTCCCTCGACTCCCGCGTGGTCACGTGAATCTGGGGAGCGTTAGCTCAGGTGTGGAAAGGGCCGACAGCGAGGAATTGGAGGCACTGCCAAGACGCTCAAGAAGGCGAGGCGATGCTTTATAAATCTGAATAAGACGCACATCTTTCATTATCATAACTACAGGACTAATGAGACGGTATCTTT